GCTATCACGTCTTTTATAGGGAAAAACCCCGGGAATAGGCATGCCAATAACATTTGAGATGTCTCTTCAAACCACAAAATCCCCCCCCTTCTTTAAAAAGTGCAGGCACTATACTTTCTCCTCCAGGACTCAAGTCGGGACTGGCTTTCCCCGAATCCCCTTCATAATGTTTTCCTTGTCACACTCCAACACCCTGTCAACTCATAAAAAAATCCACTTTCCTCCACACACTCCTGTCTAACATGCTCACACATGCCTGTTAAATAAGAGAGATAAATTTTTGGGTTTGGGTTTTTAACCCCCCGAGGGGTTTGCCACTCGGAAACCCAAAAGTCGTGGTCACGAGGCGTCAACTTTTTTCCTTTGGGGGGCCTAAACTTTCCCCAAAATACACCCCACACCAGGGGGGCTAACACCCAGGTACCTATTTGCTGCTAGGTAAAAAGGACAACGGGTAAAAGGGAAACGCATCAAAAATGTTTTTTCCCCTCACCGGGAATTGAACCCCCCGGGGGCCCCCTGTGTGTGAAGCGAGACTTTAGCCACCAGGCCACCCTCCCCCAAACCCATTTACCATGAAATAAATTTTATAAAATTGGAACACATAATTTGTGAGATTAAAAGTTTAAAGGAACCTAGAGAACAAATGGGTTTGTAGTTAAAAATAAGAGAGGAGAGTTATTAAATGGAGAGTTAGAGGATTGGGAAGTGGAGGGAATAATTTTGAGGAATTTTAAAGTTGATGAAGATAGGAGCGTGATTTTGTGTATAGGGCAAGGAGGAATAAATCTTTTAGGAGTGAGGGAAAAGCCATTGTGAGTGTGGGGGAAGTTTGTAGGGGAGTAGGTAAAATAAAGGGGGGAAGGACCGGGGTTTGATAGGGGAAAGATAAAAAGTTTTAAAAACGTGGGGGTATAGTTTTTTGGGTGGTTGGGGCAATTTTTTATAAATCCGGGAAAAGGTAAGTACCCAGGATTGGGAGAGAGCATGCATAGTTCCTTTGTATAAAGGCAAAAGGGACAAAAGAGAGTGCAAAAATTATAGGGGATAAACGTTGATATACCTGGAAATGACGGTAAGATTTGAAAGAATTTAAAAGTAAGCGAGAAAGGATAGCAGACGAACAAGGGGGCTTAGGAAAGGTAGGGGGGGTTGGGGGACCCAAATGTTTTCAGTAAAAATATAAGTGAAAAAGTTTTAGATAAGGGTAAAAAAGGCTTTTTGGCATTTATGGATTTTTGGGAAAAAGGGGTTTTGACAGGGTGGATAGGGGGGGGAATGTGGCAGAGTTGCAGGTGTATGGTGTAGGAGGTAGGGTTTTGAAAGCAGTGAGAGTTTTTTACGGGATAGGAGGGCCCAATTTTAGTATGAGGAAAGAGGGGAAAAAATTCCCGTAAAGTAGCCTTTGACGAGGGTGTGTGATGTCACCCTGGGTTTTTAATATATTTATAGATGGGGTTGTAAAGGGAAACAAATCGAGGGGTCTTGGCAAGGGTGGAGTTTAAAAAATAAAAAATCACACATAAAGTGGGGTTGTCACAGTTGCTCTTTGCTGAGACACTGTGCTTTGGGAGATTCGAAAAGAATTGCAGAATTGGGGATGAAAATTTGGGAGGGAGCAAAAGAAGAAAATTGAAAGTGAAAACAGGAAAGGTAAAAGGTTTTTAGGGTAACAAAAAAATTAGGGGATGAAAGATTGGATACAGATTGGAGGAAAGAATGGAGGAGGTGAAGTATTTAGATATTTGGGAGTGGACGGGCAGAGATGGGGCTATAAGATGAGGTGAATCATGAAATTTATGAGGGGAAAAGGGTGAGTGGGCACTTAGGGGTTGTGGAACAAAGAAACTTTTTCCTTGGGGCAAAAAAGGTAAATTTAAAAGTAAGTTTTACCAACCTCTTATATGGGTGTAAGCAGGGGTTTAATGTTCAGCGGGAAAGGCTGGAGGCAGGGAGATGTCATGTCTGAGGGGAAGTGTGGTGTGAATATAATGCAGAGAATTCAAAAGTTTGGAAATTTTAGGGGGAGGTGCGGATTACCAAAAAAGTTGTCCAAGGGTGAGGAAGGTTTTGAGGTGGTTTAGCAAAGAGAGAATGGACGAAACAGGGTGACTCAAGATTATCGTCTTAGTGGAAGGAAGGGGGGCAGGGTCGGCCCAGGAAAGGTTGGGGGGAGGGGGTAAAGGAGGTTTTTTGGCGGGGGGCTTGGACTTCCAGCAGCATGGTGACGTGTTTTATAGGAGTGAAGGGGACAAATGGTTTTTAAATTACGGCTGTTGGGGGTGTGAGCAAAGAACATTTATGAAGGGGTTTTAGGGAAACCGGCAGCCCGGACTTGGTCCTGGATGGGAATACAGGCCTGCACTCTGAGGGGGGGTTTAATTTTTATTTAAACGTAGTGAAAGCACCCTTTGGCAAACAGTGATGGGGTGAATGATGGGGAAAATTTTTTTTTTTTTCGGGGCCCCCCTGCCTTAGTGGGAATCGGCATGGGGTAAAAAATAAAAAAAATTTTTTAAACAAAAAAAAGAAGGTAAGACGACAATGATAAAAAGGATTGGGGAAAAAAGAAAAACCCTTTTTATAATGTCACAAAATTTTTCACATGTAGTGAACTTTCTAAAAAACTGGAAATCAAAAACAATTTTCAACAGTCACCTCTCCCCCTTAACGCGGGGTTCCCTTCGTAAGACCCTTTGGGAAACGAATTTGTCACAGGTGAGGAGTATACTTTTTTGGGAGTGGATTTGTGCAACCTTCTTTTATAGTTTTAAATTTCCCCTGCCCATTTATAAAAATTTTTTTATACAGTGGGGCCCCCGTTTTTCATCACCTCCCAATGCCCAATTATGTAAGTGTATTTATTAAGTGCGTTTGTACGTATGTTTGGGGGGCTGAAAGGGCTAATCAATTCACAGTATTCCTTTTGGGGAAAAAATTCGTCAGTATGGCACCGAACATACTTCGGAATGAAATAATGTCGTAAACCGGGGTCCCTGTATTTTTTAAAAGTTTTTAAAAAGTTGGTACTGTATATTGTAATAAAAGACTAAGGGAAACAGTTCTGATATACATTATTTAGGTAGCAACTCCCAAGAGCCTTTGTTAATCAGAGTGTCGGAAAAAGAGTACAAAAGTAAGTGAGGGAGGCTGTATATTGTTGGAAAAAAAGGAAGTGCTCAGGTGAACTAAGTGGCCAGTATATCAGCCATGGAAAGGGGTGGAGGCCTCCTGCAATGTTACTACCCAGGGAAAGTTTTATAAAGGATTGAGTTTTCAGTTTTGTTAGCCTAAATTTTTTTCGTAGAAAGTTTAGAAGCATCTTTTTATACTAGAGACACTAGCCCTTTTGAAATTTTTTTTAAATTTTGCCCTTCCTACATCATTCGGAACAAACTCAGGTTAATACCTGTCCCAGTTTATAATTTCCTGTATTTGACGAAGAAGCCTGCTGCATGGTTAAGGAGCTACTATAAATAAACCTAAGTGTTACATGTCTACTCATCAATTTAAGGTATTGTAACCATTTTAATTTTAAACACTTGTACAAATTTACCCTCGTAAAACATTTTTGGGCCACGGCCCTTCCATGCTTGATGCACCAATGTTCTTCCTTCACATTTTTTTTGAACAAAACATTGTGTCATACATCTAATAAAAAGCTTTTAAAGTTTTTTTTGAGTTTTTCTTAACTTGTCAGCTGTTGTCAATTTCACAGATGAATAATTTTTTTCCTTGAAGTGGAGGAAACTGCAATGTGAAAGGTCCCCTTTGTTGGTGGCTTTACAATTGTGGGAAAAAATCACACGTGATGATTACAACACCTACAAACCCTTTTACAGAACTTAGAGTACTGCGAGTTTAGGGAAAATTACATTAAGGGTGAACACATAACTGAAAAAAGGTATAGACTGCCAAGAAAAAGGGATTGTGCTGTGTATTATTTTTTGGTCACTTTTAATTTGACTTTGTTTTAATTCTCCATTTTCTTTTATTTCATTTTTGCCTTTTCTTAGCATTTTGACAATGGTATAGTAATTCCCATTTCTTTTTGTCCATGTGTGAAACTGTATAAGGTAGGTAAATTTGCAGGAGTTGCAAACTTCTGTATACTTTTTTTTTTTATCCATTCAGCTTTTCCACATCAAAATACAAATCTCCAATGCTGTGTCCACAAATTTCTTTAATCTTTCTCAGTATAATTTCTTTCCATTTTTAAGTGTATTGTGTGACTACCAGTATATTGGACTAGTAGGAACATCACTAACACTTCAAAATGAATCTTCAGATTAAAGTTCAATCAGTGTTTAAATGAATCTTCAGACTAAAGTTCAATCCAGTATCTAAATGAATCTTTAGACTAAAGTTCAATCCAGTATCTATATGTTCTCACTCAATAAATTGATTTTAGTACAGTTTGTTAGTCTTTGTAGGTAGTAGGTTGGTAGACAGCAACAGCCCAGGGAGGTACTACCGTCCTGCCAAGTGAGTGTAAAATGAAAGCCTGTAATTGTTTTACATGATGGTAGGATTGCTGGTGTCTTTTGTCTGTCTCATAAATATGCAAGATTACAGGTACGTCTTGCATATAAGTATAGAAGTACTTACACTTAGGTCACACTACACATACGTGTACAAGCATATATATACACACACCCCTCTGGGTTTTCTTCTATTTTCTTTCTAATTCTTGTTCTTGTTTATTTCCTCATATCTCCATGGGGAAGTGGAACAGAATTCTTCCTCTGTAAGCCATAAATGTCGTAAGAGGCGACTAAAATGCCGTGAGCAAGGGGCTAGTAACCCCTTCTCCTGTATATATTACTAAATTTAAAAGGAGAAACTTTAGTTTTTTCTTTTGGGCCACCCCACCTCAGTGGGATACGGCTGGTACATTAAAAGAAGAAGAATGTTGGTCTTGAACTTTTTGGCTCTTACTGTTTCTTCAAATTTAAAATCTGTTTTCTGATCTAATGTTCAAGTCTTTCTGAGAGACCTCAATGACCTATTTCAAAGAACAGCTTGAGCAGTCTTCAGTAGTCTTCATGGAGAACCAGAGCTCTCACTGTACAGTATTTTTTCTTGAGATGAGCATTTCTTTCTTCTTTCAACAAACCAGCCATATCCCACCAAGGCAGGGTGGCCCAAAAAGAGAAATGAAAGTTTTTCTTTTTAAATTTAGTAATTTGTACAGGAGAAGGGGTTACTAGCCCCTTGCTCCCAGCATTTTAGTCGCCTCTTACAACACGCATGGCTTACGGAGGAAGAATTCTGTTCCACTTCCCCATGGAGATAAGAGGAAATTAACAAGAACAAGAACTAGAAAGAAAATAGAAGAAAACCCAGAGGGGTGTGTATATACATGCTCGTACATGTATGTGTAGTGTGACCTAAGTGTAAGTAGAAGTAGCAAGACGTACCTGAAATCTTGCATGTTTATGAGACAGAAAAAAAGACACCAGCAATCCTACCATCATGTAAAACAAATAGGCTTTCGTTTTGCACTCACTTGGCAGGAGGGTAGTACCTCCCTGGGTGGTTGCTGTCTGCCAACCTACTACCTACAATGAGCATTTCTGTGTTGATCAAATTACAAGGTTTATCATTACTGTAATTGAAATTTGCATAACACTTTCTTTCTACTCTGCTAAATCATATTGCAGTTTCAGTCTGGCACAGGAATAAGCAACACTGAGGAGTACAGAGTCTGGTTCAAGTGGAGTTGGTTATTGAGCTATTCAATATTTTAATTTTAGTTTTATTTTCCATATTAGCATTTAATAAATGAGTAAGGCAGGATTGTTATGGATGCAGTAGTCAAAGAGCCATATGGGCCATAGTGTTATAACTTGGGAGCCATTATCAAACTAGACCTTACATGTGTGTTAAAGAAAAGAAGAAACTCTGACTGCATACACTATTCATGGAACTAGACCTCAAAATTTTAAAAACCTGATAACTGGCTTTGTTTTGATCCCAAGGTTGCCAGATTGAAAGGTTAATACTATACTGTACTTGGTACCTGTACTGAAGAAGCACATTGTAAAGATGTTGCAACATAGAGCTTGATCACCAGAAATTAGTGGGGATTGTTTATAAAAGTTTGTCAGCATTACGTAAATTTATTTGGATTTTAGTTCATGTACCAGTAAATAGAAAAATAAAATAGATGGGAAATATATATAGTACAGGCAAGCCCCACTTATTAACAGGTTAAGTTCTGGGCTACTGCTATTGAGCAAAAATCACTGTAAAATGAATCATAGCTTTTTCACTTTCAAATGAATATAAAAGCTTGATAACATGTTTCCACTATCACATGTATTAATTGAGTAATATAGCTAGCCATAAAAAATGCATATGCAGTACACACATTACTTACCTTAAAATATTTTCATCCTAAGGTTATATTTAATGTAGAAAGTCTGAATAAATGAAGAATGGGTTTAATTGAAACCCACTGTATTAGCAAAATGCTATAAAATGGGGCCCTCCCGTACAGTAATGCGAATGAAGACTATTATGGTCATTCTTTCAATTTGGTTAAGTGCTTGATAGGTTTAGATTTAGAATTTTTCCAGATATTTAAATGTGATGTAATTTTCATAACTGATTAATATCTTTGAACATACTGCTACGCTTTTGACTGCGTAACATAAATAAAAGCCCTGGCTCTTAAGGTTAAACAGCCTGCCTAGTCTAAGGGCATCTAAATTAATCCAAGTAAACCAACCTAGGGCCAGCTTGTACCTTAACACTAAGTGTGGAGTCAATAGTTATTAACAGGAAGGGCATAAAAACTAACATATATAAAAATATAATATATTGTTAGTAAATTCCTAGGTAGTAGGTTGGTAGACAGCAGCCGCCCAGGTAGGTACTACCGTCCTGCCAAGTGAGTGTAAAACGAAAGCCTGTAATTGTTTTACATGATGGTAGGATTGCTGGTGTTCTTTTTTCTGTCTCATGAACATGCAAGATTTCAGGTACGTCTTGCTACTTCTACTTACACTTAGGTCACACTACACATACATGTACAAGCATATATATACACACCCCTCTGGGTTTTCTTCTATTTTCTTTCTAGTTCTTATTCTTGTTTATTTCCTCATATCTCCATAGGGAAGTGGAACAGAATTCTTCCTCCGTAAGCCATGCGTGTTGTAAGAGGCGACTAAAATGCCGGGAGCAAAGGGCTAGTAACCTCTTCTCCTGTATATATTACTAAATGTAAAAGGAGAAAAATTTGTTTTTCCTCTTGGGCCACCCCGCCTCGGTGGGTTATGGCCGGTATGTTGAAAGAAAGAAAGAAAGAAAGATAGTAAATTTACATATACAGCATGCAACCTACTCTATATACAAAATCACACACCATTACACCTTTACTCACTCATGTTAGCTAACTAGCACACTGCTACTAGTGAGTAAAACAAAATATATAAACAAGAAGGCTTTATAACAACCCCCCGTCCCTTCCCTGCCAGCTACTTAGTCTGCAGTCAAAACATTATATGTACTTTCCAAAACACAGGCAATTGCACACACTAGGGCTTTAAAGGAAAATTGTGAGAGCATAACAACAATAAAATAACTAATGGCCTATACCAAACCGTGACAACTTGTTCCAGCTGCTGCTGTTCTTATACTCACTAATCAACACACCTTTTCTGCACCTGTATTGTCCTGGCTACTCTTGAGGACTAATACATGTCTGGTTTCAGAAGAAATCCCGTAAACTGACATTACAGCCTCTACTCACTTAACGATGGAGTTCTGTTCCTAAGACCACGTTGGTAAGCGTGAGGAACATACTATAATGGTAGTGGGTTTGTGTCAACCATCTTTGGTACTGTTTTAATGTCACCTTTGTACCATTTATGACATTTCTGGTATTTTTTTAAATGTTTATACAGTAGTGTACTGTATATTGTAATAAACAGAATAGAGGAAATCAACTCTAATATACATTATTTAGGTAGGTATACTGGTCAGAGAGCCCGTTGTAAGTCCAAGTTGTCGATAAACGAGTACGTCACTAAGTGAGGAGAGGCTGTATATATGGAGCATTTTTTATACACATAATACACTGCGTAATACATACTAATTATGCTTGTTATTTTCAGGTTAAGAGAATCCAGAGTGTACCATTAGTGATTGGTCAGTTTCTAGAAGCAGTTGATCAAAACACTGGTATTGTTGGTTCAACCACAGGTTCAAATTATTATGTAAGAATCTTGTCAACAATAGATAGAGAATTGTTAAAGCCATCAGCATCTGTAGCACTCCACAAGCATAGTAATGCTCTCGTTGATGTATTACCTCCAGAAGCAGACTCCTCTATATCTATGTTACAAGCAGATGAGAAACCGGATGTTGCTTACTCAGATATTGGAGGTTTGGATATGCAGAAGCAGGAGATCAAGGAAGCTGTAGAGCTCCCACTTACTCACTTTGACTTGTACAAACAAATTGGTATTGACCCTCCCAGGGGTGTACTGATGTTTGGGCCTCCTGGGTGTGGTAAGACCATGCTTGCTAAAGCTGTTGCACACCACACAACAGCATCTTTCATTCGTGTGGTTGGGTCAGAATTTGTACAGAAATATTTGGGTGAGGGGCCACGTATGGTGAGAGATGTTTTCCGATTAGCCCGAGAAAATGCCCCAGCTATTATCTTCATAGATGAAATAGATGCTATTGCTACAAAAAGATTTGATGCCCAGACTGGTGCTGATCGTGAGGTGCAGCGAATCTTGCTTGAATTACTTAATCAGATGGATGGTTTTGATCAGACAACCAATGTGAAGGTAAGTTATTCAGTTATTCATTATAATCACCTTTTATATCCTCAAGGGAAGGTTGCTTGATCCAGGGATGGGACTTATCCTCCCCATGAACTAAACCTGAATTCATAACTTTTCCCTACAAGTTTAGTACTTACCCTTTGAATAAAAATAAATAAAATTACCTTTCATAATAGCCATTCCATTTCTTATGCCTTGAAATTGTTTTGTAAGATTCAATACTGTACAGTGGAACCTTGACTTACGAGTTTAATCCATTCCGTGACCTAGCTCGTAACTCAATTTACTTGTACGTATATCAAATCAATTTTCCTCATTTAAATTAATTGAAAAGCCATTAATCCGTTCCTGTACTCTGGAGACAAGACAAAAAATACTTGAATATGACGCTAATATCAACTGTACGGCTTATTTATCTATCATAATTCATGTAATATGACATAATAAACAACATAATTAACACAGAAACATGATATATAGTCTAGAATGAATAAAATAGACCATAATATGGTGGCAGAGGCAGTGGCGGAAGCGTCCGCCATTCCCTGTCCAACTTTGACTTTAGTATCTTCCCATGCTCTTATTGTAAGAGAAAACAGAGTATGTGTGAGGCTAACTGCAAAAATATCATATATAAAAACATAAATCATAATACTCTACAGAATGTAAAGAAATATTAAACTGTTTATATAAAGTGTGTATGTACTTACCCGGAGCAGAGAAGATGGGGGAGGTTGAGGGTGCGGTGTATGATGTCAGTGCCCCTGTAAGCCTCCAACAACAACATTGTTTTGTTTGAGCGCTGAACTTAACTGATACAATTTGTTTTGTTTAATCGCTGAACTTAACTGATACAATTTGTTTTTAATCACTGAACTTAACTGATACAATTTGTTTTGTTTAATCACTGAACATAGCTGATTCAGCTTTAGTATCTACATATCGTAGATGTACTAAGCTGGTATTGCCTGGCTAAGTCCATGGAAATCATCCTCTCTTTCTTCTCAGCACTGTCCTTTACACTTATTTTCTTAGAACCCATGGTTAGAAAAAAGAAATTTGGCCAAATGACTGTAAAAAAAAATGCAAGCAAGCACGAGAGAACTGCTCCCACAGTGATGTAAACGTGTACTGCTTACCGAATATTTTGGCATCAGCTGTGCCAACTAGCGGCAGCATTCTGAATTACGTATGTATTATGTATTTAATTTAGGGAACTAAAGCTCTCTGATCTTGATCTAGGGAATTGGATCTGTGCTCTAGCTACCTAAATTAATAATAATAATTATTATTATTATTTATTATTTATTATTATCACACTGGCCGATTCCCACCAAGGCAGGGTGGCCCGAAAAAGAAAAACTTTCACCATCACTCACTCCATCACTGTCTTGCCAGAAGGGTGCTTTACACTACAGTTTTTAAACTGCAACATTAACACCCCTCCATCAGAGTGCAGGCACTGTACTTCCCATCTCCAGGACTCGAGTCCGGCCTGCCGGTTTCCCTGAATCCCTTCATAAATGTTACTTTGCTCACACTCCAACAGCACGTCAAGTATTAAAAACCATTTGTCTCCATTCACTCCTATCAAACACGCTCACGCATGCCTGCTGGAAGTCCAAGCCCCTCGCACACAAAACCTCCTTTACCCCCTCCCTCCAACCTTTCCTAGGCCGACCCCTACCCCACCTTCCTTCCACTACAGACTGATACACTCTTGAAGTCATTCTGTTTCGCTCCATTCTCTCTACATGTCCGAACCACCTCAACAACCCTTCCTCAGCCCTGTGGACAACAGTTTTGGTAATCCCGCACCTCCTCCTAACTTCCAAACTACGAATTCTCTGCATTATATTCACACCACACATTGCCCTCAGACATGACATCTCCACTGCCTCCAGCCTTCTCCTCGCTGCAACATTCATCACCCATGCTTCACACCCATATAAGAGCGTTGGTAAAACTATACTCTCATACATTCCCCTCTTTGCCTCCAAGGACAAAGTTCTTTGTCTCCACAGACTCCTAAGTGCACCACTCACTCTTTTTCCCTCATCAATTCTATGATTCACCTCATCTTTCATAGACCCATCTGCTGACACGTCCACTCCCAAATATCTGAATACGTTCACCTCCTCCATACTCTCTCCCTCCAATCTGATACTCAATCTTTCATCACCTAATCTTTTTGTTATCCTCATAACCTTACTCTTTCCTGTATCACCTTTAATTTTCTTCTTTTGCACACCCTACCAAATTCATCCACCAATCTCTGCAACTTCTCTTCAGAATCTCCCAAGAGCACAGTGTCATCAGCAAAGAGCAGCTGTGACAACTCCCACTTTGTGTGTGATTCTTTATCTTTAACTCCACGCCTCTTGCCAAGACCCTCGCATTTACTTCTCTTACAACCCCATCTATAAATATATTAAACAACCACGGTGACATCACACATTCTTGTCTAAGGCCTACTTTTACTGGGAAAAAATTTCCCTCTTTCCTACATACTCTAACTTGAGCCTCACTATCCTCGTAAAAACTCTTCACTGCTTTCAGTAACCTACCTCCTACACCATACACTTGCAACATCTGCCACATTGCCCCCCTATCCACCCTGTCATAGCCTTTTCCAAATCCATAAATGCCACAAAGACCTCTTTAGCCTTATCTAAATACTGTTCACTTATATGTTTCACTGTAAACACCTGGTCCACACACCCCCTACCTTTCCTAAAGCCTCCTTGTTTATCTGCTATCCTATTTTCCGTCTTACTCTTAATTCTTTCAATTATAACTCTACCATACACTTTACCAGGTATACTCAACAGACTTATCCCCCTATAATTTTTGCACTCTCTTTTGTCCCCTTTGCCTTTATACAAAGGAACTATGCATGCTCTCTGCCAATCCCTAGGTACCTTACCCTCTTCCATACATTTATTAAATAATTGCACCAACCACTCCAAAACTATATCCCCACCTGCTTTTAACATTTCTATCTTTATCCCATCAATCCCAGCTGCCTTACCCCCTTTCATTTTACCTACTGCCTCACGAACTTCCCCCACACTCACAACTGGCTCTTCCTCACTCCTATAAGATGTTTTTCCTCCTTGCCCTATACACGAAATCACAGCTTCCCTATCTTCATCAACATTTAACAAATTCCTCAAAATATTCCCTCCATCTTCCCAATACCTCTAACTCTCCATTTAATAACTCTCCTCTCCTATTTTTAACTGACAAATCCATTTGTTCTCTAGGCTTTCTTAACTTGTTAATCTCACTCCAAAACTTTTCTGCTGAACACTCTAACACTACATTTTTAAACTTACCCCATACCTCTTCGACCCCATTGCCTATGCTCTCATTAGCCCATCTATCCTCCAATAGCTGTTTATATCTTACCCTAACTGCCTCCTCTTTTAGTTTATAAACCTTCACCTCTCTCTTCCCTGATGCTTCTATTCTCCTTGTATCCCATCTACCTTTTACTCTCATTGTAGCTACAACTAGAAAGTGATCTGATATATCTGTGGCCCCTCTATAAACATGTACATCCTGAAGTCTACTCAACAGTCTTTTATCTACCAATACATAATCCAACAAACTACTGTCATTTCGCCCTACATCATATCTTGTATACTTATTTATTCTCTTTTTCTTAAAATATGTATTACCTATAACTAAACCCCTTTCTATACAAAGTTCAATCAAAGGGCTCCCATTATCATTTACACCTGGCACCCCAAACTTACCTACCACACCCTCTCTAAAAGTTTCTCCTACTTTAGCATTCAGGTCCCCTACCACAATTACTCTCTCACTTGGTTCAAAGGCTCCTATACATTCACTTAACATCTCCCAAAATCTCTCTCTCTCCTCTGCATTCCTCTCTTCTCCAGGTGCATACACGCTTATTATGACCCACTTCTCGCATCCAACCTTTACTTTAATATCCACATAATTCTTGAATTTACACATTCATATTCTCTTTTCTCCTTCCATGACTGATCATTTAACATTACTGCTACCCTTTCCTTTGCTCTAACTCTCTCAGATACTCCAGATTTAATCCCATTTATTTCCCCCCACTGAAACTCTCCTACCCCCTTCAGCTTTGTTTCGCTTAGGGCCAGGACATCCAACTTCTTTTCATTCATAACATCAGCAATCATCTGTTTCTTGTCATCCGCACTACATCCACGCACATTTAAGCATCCCAGTTTTATAAAGTTTTTCTTCTTCTTCTTTTTTAGTAAATGTCTACAGAAGGGGTTACTAGCCCATTGCTCCCGGCATTTTAGTCGCCTCATACGACACGCATGGCTTACGGAGGAAAGATTCTTTTCCACTTCCCCATGGACAATAGAAGAAATAAAGAAGAACAAGAGCTATTTAGAAAAAGGAGAAAAACCTAGATGTATGTATATATATATGCATGTGTGTGTCTGTGAAGTGTGACCAAAGTGTAAGTAGGAGTAGCAAGATATCCCTGTTATCTAGCATGTTTATGAGACAGAAAAAGAAACCAGCAATCCTACCATCATGCAAAACAGTTACAGGTTTTTGTTTCACAGTCATCTGGCAGGATGGTAGTACTTCCCTGGGTGGTTGCTGTCTACCAACCTACTACCTATATTATTATTATTATTATTATTATTATTATTATTATAATAAATGCTGCCAATTCAGTGCACTGTTTACTTCACTGTGGGAGCAGTTCTCTCATGCTTTGCTTACAGTTTTGACAGTCATTTGGCCAAATTTCGTTTTTCTAAGCATGGGTCCTAAGAAAGTAAGTGTAAAGGACAGTGTTGAGAAAAAAAGAGGATTTACATGGAATTAAAGCATGAACTCATAGACAAACAAGTGAGGTGTCTAGGTTTTGGGTTGAGGGGGTTAGCAGGGGGAACTTGCTCATAACTCAAATGTTGGCTCGTAACTCGGAACAAAAAAATCGACCCAGGGAGGGCTCGTATCTCAAAAAACTCGTATGTTGGGACACTCGTAAGTCAAGGTTCCATTGTATTTTCAAATTATGTAACAGGAAAAATGTCTGATATAAATTTGCATCTAAATGTTTTCTAAATCTCACGAAAGTGGTAGCATGTAATATTCTATTTTTATTCTATAATCTAGAAGCCTGTATTCTTTAAGAAATATGAGATATGCCTCCTAAAGGATGAAGAGGGTATGTTGTAAGGTCTGGCCATGAGCCATCTTTGCAGAACATATACTGCATTTAGAATTGAAGGCAGTTGCAAAGATTTGGATAAATATATTGAAGGCAGTTGCAAAGATTCAGATACATTGTAAAATGTATTATAACAGTCATCTGAATTTTGCTGTTAGTGTGACATATGTTCATTTACTGTTTAGGTTAATTTGTTTTGAAACTACTGGTAAGTACTGTTTGTTTGTTGAAAGATTATTTATACTACATGACAAGGTATGCAAATTATAATATGTAGTCATTGGTATGATCATAGGGTAATACGTATTGTCATAGTCTAAATAGAACTCATACATTATTTACTCGTTTCTTTGTATAATTATACAGTAAATAAATTTAATTTTAAAAAATTCTCATTATTCAGGTGATAATGGCTACCAACCGTGCAGATACTCTGGATCCTGCTCTTTTGCGTCCTGGTCGTCTGGATCGTAAGATTGAATTCCCATTACCGGATCGACGACAAAAACGTTTAATATTCTCGACTATTACTGGAAGAATGAACTTAAGTGATGACCTCGATTTAGAAGATTATGTAGCTCGTCCTGATCGTATATCTGGAGCTGATATTAATGCCATTTGCCAAGAGGCTGGTATGCATGCTGTACGAGAAAATAGATATATTGTGTTGGCAAAGGACTTTGAGAAGGCTTACAAAAATAACGTGAAGAAGGATGAGTCTGATCATGAATTTTATAAGTAATATTTATATTGGTAGGTTATATAACAAGAGTGACAAAATTAGCTGTTCAAATGCAGTGTAATAGTTTCATATTTTTTTTAAGTTCAGAATGGAAGGCAAGTATTGATTATTTAGTTTTAAAAGTCGTAACCCATTGTGTCATCACTTGATAATTTATTGGTCCATGAATAGATTTAAACATAGGGGATGAAACTTATTATGCTGCCATACTTTAATATAAAGCATTGTAACTTCTGCTAATCTCTGTTTCACAAACATCAGAAGTCTACGTCTTGTAGAATTACTGGTATGCAGTTTATAATAAAATTATATAATTTATCAAAACTGTTTTCTAAAGTTTGTTTTTTCCATCCTATTTAAATACTTCCTGGAGTTGGGAACTACAGTGCCTTCACTCTAGAGGAGGGTGCGGATGCTACAGTTAGGAAGGCCCTCTGAGTTGTGATATACGTTTACCTTTGATATACCTTTAATGAGTTTTGAGAGTTTCTACTCCTGGAGCCCAGCCATGGGCCAGGCTTGTCTGGTACTAGCCTGGTCACTCCAGCTGTTGCTGCTGGAGACCTGCCACCCCCACATATCCATCACAGCCTGGATGATCTGGCACCTGAAGATACTTGTCTGGTTTTCTCTTGAAGATATCTACACTTGATGTCAGCATGCTTCTAGGAATACAGCAGTTAAGTGAATGACAGTGAATGTGTTTACTCTTTTGAATCGTCATTCCTCAGTAGAGATGGAGGTTGTTAAAGCTCTTACAGAAGATTGATTTGGTTAGTGTTCAGGAACTAGCCCAAAACTAATTAATATAATTTTTTTTATTTTAGCATGATACATGTTTGTACAAAGAAGTATAACAATTCAGTGTACATGCCAAAAGCCCCTTTATATGCAGAGCATTTTGGGCAAACTTAAGATTAACTCTTTCAGTGTCGAGACCCCCGATCCTCAACTCTGTCGAAAAATTAAAAAAAAAAAAAAAATCGTATGAAATGATGGAGAATCTTCTCCCGATGGTAATGACACCACAAGTATGAAATTTGATGGAAAACTTGCAAAATTACGCTCTCGAGAAGTTGGCGCTGTCGGCGATATTTATGCATCGGCGATGTTGCCCACTTTGAGCCCTATTTTAGGCCAATTCCATTGTTCCAGTCAACTAAAATCATAACTATTTTGCTAGAACTCCATTTGTTCTATCAACTGAGTACAAGAAACTGCCCATTTACCAATTTCAACTGCCCAATAAAGTGGTCAGAAATTGGCAATTTGGCCAATTTCACACAAATTTCAAAAGATGCCAGTTTCAAAACAAGGTTCAGAATAAACAAGGCAGACATTCCTGGCACTAAACTAACATTTTCTCTTCATTAGTCATGTCTCCAGGCCCCTCTTATATTACTCTTGCTTTCCATTTTGAGTTTTTATTCTCACAAAAAATAGAAGATTTACTGTTATGCAGACTACTGCATTATTATAATAACTATATAAGTAATGTCAACCCATTCATGACTGTGTATTAGACTAGCCAGTGAGACACGTATTAGACAGTGACGTCATTTGTTTACTCTTGAACATCAGCAAAAATCATCTTTGCTATTTTGAGCACAATTTCGAGGTACTTTTCATTGTGAAACCAATCAAAATCATCTCCATTTCTGTAATATATCTTCCATTCTATCAAATGAGACCAAAAAAAGGAGAACACAACCATAAATACCATACAAAAATACACCGCATAGTTGCCGTTTTAAACCAAAAACACTGAGTTTTTTTTTCTCATGCAGTGTGTGCTGCAGGATTTTCTTAATGCGCACACTGACCACACAAACCCATTCTTTCATAAGTAGGCCAACCAGCTTTCTTCCACCATATTTGAAGGTGCTAGAATTTTGGCGTAGTACTACGGTGTGATGTAGTTCAGCTGGGCTTGTGAGGTCTCTGAGAAGACCTAATTATATGGTCACACCTTACCTTGGCAAACGTCTGTCAGCCACGCCTTTTCGGCTTAAAACTCAGGTCTTTTGTTCTGGACGGCGTCAGGTCAAAACACGTGGTGCACACCCCATTGTGGGGGGTACTCTCGGGACAATATAAGCCCAAGGAACAGCTGAGCCGAGGAGATTCATGCGGAGCTCTGGCCTGGGTGCACAGCTCTGAGCAAAGAGACTTCAAGCGGAGCAGCTGCTGGGGTGCAGGGCTCGGGAGAAGGCCGCTGAAGTCTCTGGAGGAGACATTGGGCAGAGTACTGGCTTGAAGCAGTACTCATGCTGTATAGGTCTTGGGACCTGTGGTAAACTGTCCTCTGAACTATATTGTAAGTTACATTCTGTTTCGCCAAGCTAATTGTATTCCCGGTCTCACTGCTTATGTGTACCACCCCATTTATCTAAACCACAATAATGTTCTCCTGTTCCCAAATATATTATTGTACACGGACTTAATAATAAACTGTGTTTGAGTAGAATAGTAATATTCACTGTCCCCATTATTTATTCTTTTATTTTTTTATTTCAAGTAGTGAGAGGGTGAGTAGTGTGGTGAGTAGAGTAATGAGAGGTGAAGGTGTAGTCACCAGTGACCTCACATTACCTACCAACCTCCGCACTCATCCCTCCTACTGCCTCACCTGTCCCCTACCTACTGACTCCCTCCTCTTACTCCCATATTCCCCTAATCATTACTCCCCATACATGACAACGGGACCAACACTGAAAGGGTTAATAAGGCAATATCAGTGTAATAATTGTACATGTGATCATTGGGTGAGTTACAGTGATTACAAGAAAATTTAATATTCTATTAGTTCATGCTATATCGCTTTAGTAAATTTGGTAGAGAAGAATTACACATTTGATTGTTAGCCTAAGGTAGACACAATGTAATGATTAACATTACATTTGAGAGGATTGCAGATATTGTTTTACCTAGGTTCATGATATTGAGTAAATGCATATACAGTGGACCCCCGCATACCGATTTTAATCCGTGCAAGAGGGGTCATTATTATGCGAAATAATCGGTATGCGAATGAATTTTCCCCATAAGAAATAATGGAAATCAAATTAATCCGTGCAAGACACCCAAAAGTATGAAAAAAAAAAATTTACCACATGAAATATACATTTTCCTACACACAAAGAGAAGGATACATGCACAACAGTAGAGTAGTACATGCACAGTATATATTGTGCATGTACTAGTCTACTAAATGAAGAATAAATGACACTTACCTTTATTGAAGATGCAGCAATGACTGATGAGACACTGTGTCCTGGGAGTGCCTTTTCCTCCTGAGTACTGTAGGTCCTGTTTGGCATTTTCTTCCAGAACAGGCCTTATCACACTGTGTATGCCACTACGATTCTTAAATCTCTCAAACCAACCTTTGCTGGCTTTAAATTCACCAATATGAGCACTAGTTCCAGGCATTTTTCCCTGTTCACCTGGGTGTTAGTCGACTTGTGTGGGTTGCATCCTGGGAGACAAGATTAAGGACCCCGATGGAATAAGTTAGACAGTCTTCGATGACACTGACTTTTTTGGGTTATCCTGGGTGGCAAATCCTCTGGGGTTAATTGTTTCTTGGTATTCTCAATAAGCCACACCAACAACGGTGCTACAGCAGCAGCAGCAGCTGACGGTGGTACAGCAGCAACAGACGATGCTACAGCAGCAACAGACGATGCTACAGCAGCAGCAGACGATGCTACAGCAGCAGCAGACGATGCTACAGCAGCAGCAGCAGCTGACGGTGGTACAGCAGCAACAGACAATGCTACAGCAGCAGCAGACGATGCTACAGCAGCAGCAGACGATGCTGCAGCAGCAGCAGCAGCAGCTGACGGTGGTACAGCAGCAACAGACGATGCTACAGCAGCAGCAGACAATGCTACAGCAGCAGCAGACGATGCTACAGCAGCAGCAGCAGCTGACGGTGGTACAGCAGCAACAGACGATGCTACAGCAGCAGCAGACGATGCTACAGCAGCAAAGACAATGTTACAGCAGCAGCAGACGATGCTACAGCGCAGCAGCAGCTGACGGTGGTACAGCAGCAACAGACGATGCTACAGCAGCAACAGACGATGTTACAGCAGCAGCAGACGATGCTACAGCAGCAGCAGCAGCTGACAGTGCAGCAGCAGCAGCAGCTGTACCACCAATAGTAGCGATGGTTGATTGGGGTTTATTATACAACCTGGCCAGCTCGGAGACACGCACTCCACTTTCATACTTATCAATGATCTTTTTCTTCATCTCTATTGTAATTCTCACCCTTATTGCTGTAGGGTTGGCACTAGAAGCTTTCTTGGGGCCCATGGTCACATTTTTTTCCAGAAAAAGCACCGAAAACACTGTAATAATACGAAATATTCCGATTGTATGCTTGGATGTTACCGTGGAGGCTGGCTGGTAAACAATGCCACCGGCGGAACATGTGAGCGTGGCTCAGGCCGCACATTGGACGCGTCTCGGACGAAAATCGGTGAGCGGGTTTTTAAGCGGTATGCGAGGCAAAATTTTTGTGATTAAAGCAAGCGGTATGCGGATTAATCGTTATGTGATGCCATCGGTATGCGGGGGTCCACTGTACATGTATAGTTTTTACACATTTATTTATGATGGGCTTGGATAGGTTAAGGAGATAAGGTGTTTTCTAACTATAGTTTTAAAAATGCTAGCTGAGCCAGTGGTTTTGGAGGTTTCTGACAGTTCCAGATTTTGGGTCCTTTTGTGTGTCCATGGGTCCTATGGCAACTGTCAAGAAAGCACTTCAGGTCAGGATTTATATTAGAATTGATTGTTTTGTAACTGTAGTGTGTACATTAGTACAAGTGGATGTTTTGTATGGTGAGTAGGTTTAGGACTTTGAAAATTGTGGGGGTGTGGGGGGGGATTGTCTAGCTGTGGAATGTGTGATCATTCACACTGCAGTTTTTTGTTGGGTTATTATTGAATTTAGGTGATTAGTCATTGAGGAGCCCCAGGCACAAATTGAATAGGTGAGGTTGGGGTAGATCAGTGAATAGTATAGTGTAAGTAGTGCTGTTTGTGGTACATAGTAGTGTATCCTTGAAAGGATGCCAACTGTTTTAGATACTTTTTGTTTTGTGTTGGATATGGGTGTTGAAATTTAGGTTGCTGTCAAAGTGTAGACCCAGGAATTTTCCCTCATTATGTTTAGCAATAAGGATGTTAAGCATAATGTTTAGTTGGACCTCACTTACTCTATTCCCAAACATAATGTAAAAGGTTTTGTCTGTATTCATTGTGAGTTTATTGACAGTCATTCAGGTTGCTATTTTTGCGAACTCTTCATTAGCAA